CCAAGTATTTGTACGTGTGTGTATGTGTGCAATCTCTCTCTCTGGCTGCTTTGTGGAGAGTAACCCATAAAGGGAAAGAAAAGAAGCAGGGGCCAGTTAGGAAGTGAAGGTGATAGTCTAGGAAGGACTAGTCTGGATGAGCGGTGGTGCTCATGATGTAGAGAGTAGGCAACTGAACACAGAGGTTGTAAGGATGTGCTAATGAAATGGAGGTGGGGGTGGATGGAAGGAATTCGATGTAGGTTGGTGGTATTTGCTGATAAGGAAGACTGTCGGAATTGCAGGTTTGGTTGAAAAATCAGAAGTTTTGCTCTGAGGAAATTAAGTTGGGAATGCCTATTAGTCATTCAAGTGGAGAGGTCAACTAGGCAATTGCGCAGGTGAGTGTTAAATTAAAGCATGTAGTCTGGGCTGGAGATCCAGGAATATATTACTTCACTTTTTATTAATAGAGCCAAGAAAGTCTATCACAGTTAAAATATATTTTACAAAGAAAAATAAAAAATGAGTGCATGGAGAAATGTTAATAAATTAAAAATGAATGCAGGATACAAATTACTATAGCATAGTATGAATTTTTTTGCTCACACAGTGTTCTTATTATTTAGTAAGTGCTGATGGAGAAGCAGGAAAACATTAAACTGCAGTATCTTATGTGTGGGAAGTGTCCTGGAGTTCAAACGTCTGTCTCCTCTACCGTGCCTGGGCAATGCCTTCCAGCAGAGGTCTGCACGCTCGGTGTTGGAAGGGCACGTTGTTTCCCCTAGGGCAGGTGATGCTAGGTTTACAGTAAGTTCTTCCTTTTCTTCAGTAGCTGTTTTCTCACTCATCATCGTCCCTCCATTTTTACCAAACCCTATCACTTAAGACTTAGAAGAAGGCCAAATTCTCACTTTTTACAATAACTTCTCATATAACTGATGAGATTGTTGTGTCCTTGATGTAGTTGTTGTCTCCTTCATGTTTTCTCAATTAAGCTCACCCAGTACTTTTAGTGGCTCCCCATATGACAAAACTTTAAGCCCTCTGCCTGTTATGGTTACTCTTATTTCCAGTGTATTTTTTCTACACCCCTCTCCAAGCCTGGCACCTGGCATTTCTGCGTTTCCCACAGCACTATGGCTATGTTTCTATAAGACAGTGGAGTTGGATTCGACTTCCAATCTGTAGATGCCATGCTTCTGTTAATGGGAACCAACCCAAGGCCCAATGCCTTTTCTTCTTTCTTTCTTTTCTTTTCTTTTCTTTTCTTTTCTTTTCTTTTCTTTTCTTTTCTTTTCTTTTCTTTTCTTTTCTTTTCTTTTCTTTTCTTTCTTTCTTTCTTTCTTTCTTTCTTTCTTTCTTTCTTTCTTTCTTTCTCTCTCTTTCTTTCTTTCTTTCTTTCTTTCTTTCTTTCTTTCTTTCTTTCTTTCTTTCTTTCTTTCTTTCTTTCTTTCTTTTATAAATAAAATAAACCTTCAATTGCATAATAGTTTTAGATCATAACATTGAAGTATGGTACAGAGAGTTCTCATATACTCTCCAAGCAGTTTCCCTTATTGTTAACATTTTATAGTACTGTGATATGTTTGTCACAAATAATGAACCAACATTACTACATTGCTATTTAACTAAACTCTATACTTTATTTGAATTCCTTAGTTTTTCTGTCCCTGAATCCCATCCAAGATATACATTACTTTCAGTTGTCATGTTTCATTAGTTTCCTTTGACTGGAGCAGTGTCTCAATTTCCTTTCTATCACCTAGACACCCAGGTATTTTGTAGACTATCCCTCAATTTGTGCTTGTCGGAAGTTTTTCTCATGGTTGGACTTAGGTTATGGGTTCGGAGGAGGACGATCACAAAGGTGGAGTACCGTTCCCATCTCATCATTTCAAGAGTACTTGCTGTCAATTTGGCTTATTACTGATGACGCTAACCACGGTCAGCTGGCTGAAGCTTCCCGTTGTAAATATACTGTTTTCTCCCTTTCCACACTGTTCTCTTTGGAAGAGCAGACCATTCTCAAGAGGCAGGGAATTAAACATACATTACTTACACAAATTACTTGGAATTCTGTATGGGTGATTTCTTTCTTTCCCCTATTTATTTTTCTCTGCAGTCATTTATTGGTATCAGTATGGGACTCATGGATATTTATTTGATACTTCGGATTGCAGTCCAATAGTGCAGTCTTTATTTGTTGCTCATACTGCTCCACTCTGAGCATTGGTGGCTTTTTCAGGTTGGTTCTCATGTCCCTTTGGCATAGCCCATTATTTTGTTTACCCTGTGTTTTTAAGATGTGTGGTACTGCTAACTCCTGTCTTATACCTGGGTGTTATTTGGGGAGAAGTATGGGTATCAAAACAGGTTTTATGATGACCCTCACTAAATTTTATCTTCTTATAGTTAACCATCATGGTCATTGCTCAATGACTGCGGTAATAGCCTCCTACCTGGTCTCTGAACAACCATTCTAACCACTCCCACCTGCATTGTATTCAGTTCTTTAAATAGCAGCCAGGGTGATCGATCTCTGATCTCTGTAAACAAATCAGCGATGCCACTCTTCCCTGTATCAGTGCATAACACTTTGCATAACCCGACTCTTGCTTATTTCTCTGATCTCAACCCTTAACTTTTATATCTTTCAGTCAGTATATTTTAGCCACACAACTCTCCTTTTTGTTCTTTAGAGCTAATGCCAAGCTTCTATGCATGAGGCTTTTCTAACATTGGGTGTTTCTGCCAGGAATGTTCTTCCCACATTCCTTCAAATGGCTGTTTTCCTTGCTATTCAGATCTTAGCTCAGATGACACCGTGTCAGGGAGAACTTTTCATGCATTCAAGCTAGGGTAGCCTCACTCTGTCCCTATAATATAGCCATGTTTTATTTCCTTTATAGAAATCATCTTAATGGAATATTTTCTTAATAATTTGTTAGCCATTTATTATCATTCTGGATGTCCGACCGTTAGAATGTGACAAGGTCTTGTACCTTTTGTTCATAGCTGCATCACCAGTGCAGAAAGCAATTCTTGGAACACAGGAGGAGCTCAGTAAATAGGTATTAAATGTTGGTTATTAAAGACTCAGTTATTTCTTTTTTATGTTGTTCATGCTATTATAGTTGTCCCACATTTCCTTCCTTCCCTCCCCCAATCAACCCACTCCCAACTTCCATAATCAGTCCCTTCACTGCTGTCCATGCCCGTGGGTCCTATATCTGTGTTCTCTGACTCACCCCTTCACCTTCTTTCAATCAGTCCCCACCTCCCACTTCTCCCCTTACAGATGCCTGTGTTTCCCATGTTTCCATGCCTTTAGTTGTATTTTGCTCATGAGTTTATTTTGTTTATTAGGTTCATCTTTTAAGTGAGATCTTATGGTATTGTCTTTCACCAACTGGCTTGTTTCACTTAGCTGAATAGTCTCCAGTTCCATCTATGGTGTTGCAAAAGGTGGTAATTCTTTCTTTCTGTTGCAGAGTATTCCACTGTGTAGATGTACCACAGTTTTTTTTAAATCCATTTATCTACTGATGAGAACGTGAGCTGGTTTCAAATCTTGGCTATTGTAAATAGCACTGCTTAGAACAGGTGGCTGCATACATTCTTTTGAATTGGTGTTTCAGGGTTCTTTGGATATAGTCTCAGCAGTAGAATTGGTGGGTCAAAAGGCAGTTCCATTTTTAGTTATTTTGAGGAAATTCTGTACCGTTTTCCACAGTGGGTGCACCAGTCTGCATTCCCACCAACAGTACACTAGGGTCCCCTTTTCTCCACATCCTTGCCAGCTCTTGTTGTTTGTTGATTTATTAATGATGGCCATTTTGGCAGGTGTAAGGTTACATCTCATTGTGGTTTTAATTTGCATTTTTTGATGGCTAGTGACATTGAGCATTTTTTCATATGTCTATTGGTCATTTGAATATCCTCTTTGGAGGAGTGTTTATTCATGTTCTTTGCCTATTTTTTAATTGGATTATTTTTCTTCCTGGTGTTGAGTCATGTAAGCTCTTCACATATTTTGGAGATTAATCCCTTGTCCAATGTATCATTGGCACATATATTCTCCCATATAGTCAGTTCCCTTTTCATTCTGATGATGGTTTCTTTAGCTGTGCAGAAGCTCTTTAATTTGATGTGATCCCATTTGTTTACTTTTTCGTTTATTTTCCTTGTCCTAGGAGATACATCAGCAAAAATTTTTCTATGCAAGGTATCTGAAATTTTACTGTGTATATTTTCCTCTGGGATTTTAATGGTATCATGACTTATATTTAAATCTTTTATCCATTTTTGAGTTTATAATGGTATGTGGTGTAAATTGGTAGTCTAATTTCATTTTTTGTGTGTAGTGGTCTCCCAGCACCATTTTTTGAAGAGACTGTCTTTACTCCATTGTATGCCCTTTCCTACTCTGTCAAATATTAATTGACCATAAAGACATGGGTTTATTTCTGGGCTCTCTGTTCTGTTCCATTGATCTATGTGTTTGTTCTTAAGGCAGTACCAGACTTTTTAGATTACAGTAACCTTGTAGTATAGTTTGATATCAGGTATTGTGATCCCTCCAACTTTGTTCTTTTCTCTCAGGATTGTTGAGGCTATTCAGGGTCTTTTTGTGGGTTTCATATACATTTCTGGAATATTTCTCTTGGACTGTGAAAAATGCCATTGGTATCTTAATAGGAATTACATTGAATCTATGGATTACTTTGGGTAGTATGGACATTTTAATGGTGTTAATTTTTCCACAAGTTATTTCTTCTAGCACTTATCTCTGGGACCTCTATAATCTGTTAGCCCCTGTGTTGTGATACTTTGTTACTTCGTGTTACTATCTTTTATAGGATTGCCTTGTACAATTCGGATTAAGATTATACAATAATTTATTAGAGAACATGTTGTGCCTGTCATAGTGGATTTTCTTTTTAGAAAATAAAGCTAACCTTGTTCCCATAAACATCTGCTTCTAGCCTGACCACGCCCTCCCTATGGTTCCTTTGCAGATCACCAGGCCAAGATCAGAGAGCTAGAGGAAGACCTTGGAGCCACTGACATTTTCTCTTTTGATTCATATCAAATAAGGTAGTTCTCTCTGGATATGGTTGTTCAACATTTTATACCCTTGGTTATTTATATTATCCATCATCTATCTCTGTCTGAACCTTGACAAAATCGGCATGAGGTCAGTAACTTAACTGCAGCCAGATATGGAACACTGGATCCATTTTTTGTGTTATCACCGTAATGCACTCTGACTCCTAGGATGTCTGTTTCGTGATTTTAATGCTCAAAAGCCATCACTTTGATAATCCATTTCGGACTCTCTCTTTGGAGCTAGATGGAAATCAATAGTCCATCGCTATAAAATTTACTTTCTCCTTTTACCATTTTTTATTCTCCTTGAACTCATATGCATTTACTTAATTCTAAAAAAATTTACAAGCTTCTCAAGCTAGTGTACTCTTTTACCATGTTAAAGCGCATGCAGATAATTAGACATATCTGATACTATGCAGGTTTGACCACCGTGTAGCCTAAATGAGCTGTATAGCACTTCATAGTCAATATAAAATCACTCATCAATAATTCCTCACTCAATCCAATGATTTGTTATTGTTTCAACTAACTTAAAGATAAGCTCTTCATAACTGTGCTACTTGTGCTTTGTTTCCAGTTATAATGGGAATTTCATTAGAAACTAATGTTAGCCCATGGCAGTACCCAGTAGAATCAGTTACTACATTTTAATTTCCGTTTTTTCAAAAGGTTTGAAAATAGTATTTATTCTTGCTGTGGTGTTGTCTTCGGTCAGTTTCCTTTGGAAATACACTTTGGGCTTCTGACATGGCATTGTGCGGTTTATTGTTGTGCAGTCTTGGGAACAATACCTATGAAGGGTAAGGGATGCAAGATGGGTAGATGGAGAGACTGAATTGAGATGCATTTGCGACAGAGGGTTCAATCAATGCTATGGGAGTTCTGGAGCTGTGATAGTCCTTCAGAGCTGTCCTGAATTGAGGTAAGGGGCTAGCCTTTGTACTTCCTCATTTAGCAGTCATTAGACATTTAATGCCCCTGGAAAGGAGTGTAGCCTCTGCCTAGTCAGCTCCCTTCAGCCAGGTAATGCCAAGAGAGGGACTTAGCTGTGAGCTGTTAGCTTTGGTTTACTCTTTTCCTTTTTCTACAGCGAGTATGGTCCAAGATCTCCTTGGATTTTTCAGACATCCAAATGGATGTCTGAAACTGTGGATAGTACCCAACCCTACATATGCGATGCTTTTTCCTATATGTGCATGTGTATTATAGGATTTAATTTATAAATTGGGCTCAGTGAGAGATTAACAGCAATAACTGACATGAATAGAACAATTCTAACAATATACTGCACTAAAACTTAGATGAATGTAACTCTCTCCTTCTGAAGACATCTTATGGTACAGTACTCACCCTTCTTATATCATGTGATACAGTGCCTGTGTGATGAATGAAGTGAAGTGAATACTGCAGCCAAAGTGACAGAGCCTCAGACCACTACTGACATTCTGAGGGAGGATCTTGGGCCATGAAGATGTCATGTCTTCCACAAATTTTTCAGTGTATTTTATTGATTATGCTATTACAGTTGTCCTATTTTTTCTCCTTTATTCCCCTCTGGCCTGCACCTCACCTCCCTCCAGCATTCCCCCCTTAGTTCATGTCCATGGGTTGTACATGTAAGTTCCTTGACTTCTCCATTTCCAGTACTATTCTTAATCTCACCCTGTTTTGTACCTACAAATTATGCTTCTTATTCCCTGTACCTTTCCCCTATTTTCTCCTCTCCCTCTCCTCACTGATAGCCCTCCATGTGATCTCCATTTGTATGATTCTGTTCCTGTTCTAGTTGTTTGCTTAGTTTGCTTTTTTTTAGGTTCAGTTGTTCAGAGTTGTGAGTTTGTTGTCATTTTACTGATCATAGTTTTGATCTTCCTTCTTTTTCTTAGATAAGTCCCATTAACATTTCATATAATAAGGGCTTGGTGAGGATGAACTGCTTTAACTTGACCTTATCTGGGAAGCACTTTATCTGCCCTTTTATTCTAAATGATAGCTTTGCTGGATAGAGTAATCTTGGATGTAGGTTCTTGCCTTTCATGACTTGGAATACTTCTTTCCAGGCCCTTCTTGCCTGCAATGTTTCCTTTGAGAAATCAGCTGATAGTCTTGTTGGAACTCCTTTTTAGGTAACTCTGTCCTTTCTTCTTGCTGCTTTTAAGAGTCTCTCTTTATCTTTAATCTTGAGTAATTTAATTATGATGTGTCTTGGTGTGTTCCTCCTTGGATCCAACTTCTTTAAGACTCTCTTGAGCTTCCTGGACTTCCCAGAAGTCTATTTCCTTTGCTACGCTGGGGAAATTGTCCTTCATTATGTTTTCAAATAAATTTTCAATTTCTTGCTCTTCCTTCTCTCCTTCTGGCACCTCTATGATATGAATCTTGGAATATTTAAAGTTGTCCCAGAGGTTCCTAAGCCACTCCTCCTTTTTTAAAAATCCCTATTTCTTTATTCTTTTGTTCCAGCTGAATGTTTATTTCTTCCTTTTGTTGCATATTGTTGAATTGAGTCCCAGTTTCCTTCCCTTCACTGTTGGTTGCCTGTATATTCCTCTTTATTTAAGTTTGTATAGACTTCACTTCTTTCTTTATTTTGTGTCCATACTCAGTCATTTCTGTGAGCAACCTGACTACCAGTGTTTTGAACTCTGCATCTGATAGGTTGGCTGTCTTTTGATTGCTTAGTTCTCTTTCTGGGGTTTTGATCTGTTCTTTCATTTCTTTTTCTCAGCACACCTGTTATGTTGTAAGGAGCGGAGCCTTAGGTATTTGCCAGGGTGGGGCAACCCACTTTGCTGCATCATGGAGTTGTCTGGATGAATGTTTCTTCTTTAACTCCTTAGTTGTTGGACTTCCATACCGTTCGATTTTCAGGCTGTTCTGCTTGTTTTAATTTTCAAATTGGTTGTTGTCCTTCTTTTGTTTGTGTGGGAAAGCAAAGCATATCTTCCTATGTCTCTATCTTGGCTGGAAGTCCTACCCTCCAAGACCCATTTCGGACTGCCGTGGTAAAGAACTGGCCTTTGCCATTGGGCCAACATGAATAGGTCCTCCATAATGTAATGCCTTTTTCATCTTAACTAAGTAGTTATCATACACTGTTATTATAACTTTTGCAGTTTGAGGTGCACTAGTATAACTAGCATGAGTTTCTTTTTCCTCCATCACAATTTCACGGGTAGAAGATTCACTCTTACCATAGGTCTTAGGAGCCTCAGCATTAAAAAAATTTTTTCTTATTAAATTGAGAACTTTCACCTTTTCACTTAAGGCATGGACATTCAGTTCCTCCTTGGCATATTCAAATTGCCAATATCTTTGCTCTTGTGCTTTGGGGTCATTATAAAGTAAAATAAAGGTTACTCGAATACAAATGCAGGGATATATCCATCTAATAACTGACGACTACTGAGAGGCTAAAGGTGAAGAGTGCATACTGCATGGACACGATGGACAAAGGGATGATCCATCCCCCCCTAATATATATGGGCGGATGCAGTGGGTTGTGTGAGATTTCATCATCATGCTACTCCAAATGGTGCACCACTTGAAACTTGTAAGTCGTTTATTCCTGGAATAAATATTTTCCATTTAATATTTTTGGATGGGGTTCACTGGGGGTTACTGAAACCATGGAAAGCAAAACTACAGGTGAGGAAAAACTACTCTGCTGCCGGCAGCTGGGCAGTGAACGTGTCCATACTGAAGGGAAGATTTAGGTTGTGTGGTTAGTACAGCATCTCCTACAGGAGACTTCAAATAGAGTTCATGTCTCAGTCCTGACTTCCTACTTCTGCATTCATTCCTCAAATTAGGACACTCCTGTACTTGCTGAAGGGTCTGTATCTACCCTGAATGTCTCCTCCTTCAGTTTTCTTATGTAGAGTGGGGATAATGATACACACATGCACATAAATACAGAGGCTTAGCACATACTTGAATGCTTAATAGATGTTATTTTTTTATTTTATTAAGACCTTGGAATGCATCTTTAACTAATGGTTAAAACCCTAAGAATTAGCTTTCACAGACCCCTATTCCTCCCTTTGAAATAGAGTAGTTTCTTCATCTTGGATCCTGTGTACATTTCAAGAATGATGCAGCATTGAAATATAAAATATGTTTGGAGAACCTTAAAAATTAGTAATTCACTATCCAGAACTAGCTCGATCCCCCCCTCCTCCATTTTTAACTCTTTCTTAAACACTAGTTTAAAAACTGCAGGTTTCTGGAAGTTTCTTAAACTTCTGAGTATTGGCATTTAATGAGTAATAATCTAAGAATTTACTGACCCATCCTTTGCTCACAGCTGACAAGAAAGCAGTGCTTTTTTTTTTGCAGCTGTTATATAGCACTATACTAGAATGCATGTTGAAAAAGCTGCTCTTCCTTGTTCTTCCAAAATATTTTTCCCACAGAGGAAACTTAGTCTCAACCTGTTACATTGATAATGCACAATAACATCTGATTTGAGTCAATACTGATTATTGTGCAGCTTGGCCTGCTGGGAGATATTATCTTTCCTGCAGTGAGGCATTCTCAGTGATTCTTTCTCAAATGCGTGCATCTAAAACTGGGACAACTTATCTGGTTCTAGCATCTTACATGTGCTGAACAAAACAAACAGACATTTGACTGATGTCAACAATGCCTGGCCCTTTCTTCGTGGCAGGAATCTAGTTTATATAAAGAAGTAAATTGTCCCTTTAAGATGTGACAGAATCAAATTGGTTTGGAAAGCCGAACGGTTGCATTATTGGCTGGTACCACAAATTCAATCAGTGATTTTCAACAGGGCTTGATGGAAATTGCTGAATTCCTGTAGCATTTTAGCTGTTCAGTGAAGGAAAGTGAAGTCATAGTAACCATGGTAAATATTTCAGTCTACTTGGGCTATCTTATCATTTTAGGGTTGGAGGTCTAAAAGATCTTTTAAAAGTATTCCCTGAACTTAAAGGTTGTAAAAAGGTACGTGTCACTTTGTAGAC